AAAAAAAAAAAAAAAAAAAAACATGTATTTGGATTAATATCAATACTAGTTCTTCACGATATATCCGGCCCTAAAGAAATACTTGGAGGTTTTGGATTGGTTTTAAATTAAGAGCTTGAATAGTGCTCATTCCAATTCAATTCAAGGCAATCTTTCAATATTACTTCCACTTTGCTGGCTGCCCGCTAAAAACATCACTTTCCCCCTGTGGGTGAAACTATGTATTCTGAATTGACTTTTTTATGCTTTATTATGGAAAATTTCAAACATACACAAAAGTTGTGAGAATAATATAATGGATGCCCATGTACCCATTACCCAGGTTCAACAAACCATCACTTTTTTTTTTTTTTTTTTTTTTTTTGCGGTACGTGAGCCTCTCACTGTTGTGGCCTCTCCCGTTGCGGAGCACAGGCTCCGGATGCACAGGCTCAGCAGCCATGGCTCAAGGGCCCAGCCGCTCCGCGGCATGTGGGATCTTCCCGGACCGGGGCACGAACCCGTGTCCCCTGCATCGGCACGCGGACTCTCAACTACTGCGCCACCAAGGAAGCCCAAACCATCACTTTTTAATGGCTTTTTCCTCACCCCTCCTGCATATTCCTTGGTGAAGACTTTAACAGGTCCTATGTACAGACACAGTCACTGTGGGACTCCTGATTCTGCACCTCCTTCTCGCCACTGCTTCTCTGCTACAAAACAGTTCAATTTTCTCTTTCGGAAATTTGTAGTCCTTCTGCTCTAAGTCTGTTCCCTAGCACAGAACATTGTCCTATTCATTCTCTTCTCCCTGGCTCATCTTTCTATGTGGTTGAGTAAGTGTTGGTGTGGCTTCAAACATCCAAATAACAGTGACAGAAATAACAAATTCACCAGATAAGATTAAGATAAAAGTTAAAGGAATTTCAGAGGCATTTCAGTCCAAATCATTTTCTTGGCAGTAGGAAAAACTGAGGCTCATGTTCTGAGCTGTCCAAGAAATACAAGCAAGAAATGATGACAAGGATGTGTGGAAAGTGAGCTTCTATTGTCCACACTCTTT